ATTGATAAAGAAAAAAATTCTTCTTGACTTAACATGCTTTTCAATTGCATGATATACTAAATTAATTTAAAATGAGGTAAAGCATATTATTATTTTCTATAAATATTCTTAAATTATTATTTTTTTGTGTTCTAAATTTTTTGTACAAGTTTTAGTTAGAAAAAATTACAGTTGAAGTTTATGAGAAATAAAACCTATAAATAAAATGTTTTACCAACTGGTAACAGATTATGATAGAACTTCTTATCATGCATTTTAATTCAATTTGTTAATTCACTCCTCTATATATATATGTATATTTGTTCGTGAATTTCAGAAATGACTTCCGATCATTTTGTATATGAACTCCTTAGTACTGTGACACAAGGCATGACATAACTTGCTTACAACATGCAGGATTGTTTTTGTCATGCATTGGAAACCAAATTTAATTAAGAAATTGCATTCATTTAATAAACGGGTAGTGAAGTTATATATATTCTGTCAAGAAATTTAATTACTTTTGCAAATCAATCCTGTGGCTCAGATCTGCGGTAAGCGCTAGCTGTTTAGATTCCTAATAATACTTTTTCCCTTTTAATTTCGGCATGTGTTACATTTATGTGATAAGTTTGCAATAATAGATATTATGTAAGGATGACTAATTATAATGCTGGTCTGCCATTTTATATCTGACAGTAAATATAAAGTAAGGTAATTAAGAATAATACGTAATATTTGAAATCAAAACAAGAATTTATTGGTGTAAGATCCTAAATACGAGTGTAAATTAACTTAAGAAGTTCCTGAGCATAAGAGACAGAAGAGTTGGAAGATAAAAGATGTGATTTTCCAAATTCACAAGCCTCACAAAATATAAATTATCACTCTTAAAAACTTTTACGCGACGGCTGTTCAAGATGTCATCTAGAACTTTTTTTATGTCCAAGTCTCTTTCTTTAACTAAAATGTAGGCACACAAGCTACTACTAGGTTGAAAACTGATACATGCTTACACAACTCATTATTAATTTTTTTAGTAGAATTTGAACTTTTCACTTATCTTTCACAAAACAATCATTGGCATTAAATTCAATTGCAATATCATTATCAGGAATAAGTTTGGAGACACTCAATAAATAAATTCTTGTAATTTTAAGTACATAAAGGACATCTTGCAAATCTGGTAATTTTTGTTAAGTCTCTAAAATTGCACTACTATAGGTTTGTATCTTTAGTTTCTCATTGTTACAAAAGTCTTACTATATTCTAAAATTTTTTCAAATTGATTAAGATCATTGAAAACATGATTACTAGCTCCATTATCAAATTAACATTGCTACGAAGGCGTTATATATTTTTTGCTTTTCTTCAAAAGTTTGACATTTATAAAACCCATAGAAACAATCGCAACATGACCAATCTTACCACATACTTGACATATTAGTTTATTTTTGACATCCTTCTTTATCCTCTATCATCTCGTTTGAACCTGATAATTTTCTCTCCACCTCCCACGAGAAAAGTGACTTACTTTTTATCTGTCTAACCATTAGATTTGCAGTTGGATTAAGTATCAGGTTCCAGAAGTTACTCAGTTGCTCAAGTTTTTCTTTATGTTAGACGTTATTGAGAGATTTCATCAATTGTGAAAATTGGGCTTGATTGTCTACTATTTCATTTGAATCAAGTAATTCTCCTCCTTCATCATGGTATTGGGCCTTATGTGGCCCATGATTGTGATAGCTAGAACATCTAATGCAAATTTAAAATATCTAGGGTTATCAAAGTTTCCAGTGTTATCAGATGCTATAAACTCGTAATAGCTCATATTAAACAGTTAGCAACTTCTCTCTCCACCATTCTCTCTGCAACATTGGGTTGAAGAACTCACACTTATGAGGAACTAATTGCCATCTTCATCATTCATGTTATATCTAGATATGGTGATAAATATATTAAGGTATGATGTTGATTTCTTATAAATCAATTTAGTGTTTTATGTTGGAATTCTTTATATACAATGTATTCTTGTTATTGTGGTTGTTTTTATGGAGACCAGTAAAAGAAATACATGACACACAATTATGTAAAATTGCAATTCTTATGCATAACCGGCGAACAATTAGTTTAACAATCTCATTAAAATTTATAACATTTACCCACTCTAAACGTGTTTGAAGTTTTGAACTAAAAATAGCATTAAAACCAATACTATGCTCGTCTTCAATAAATAAACTTAATTAATTTCATAAACAAGTTACGTGCATTTTATTTAAAACAAGTTTGGAAAGCTGTGGGCTTAGCTACCCACCTGGTTTTTTAAATTTTCTGCACATGAAGGAGATGCTTTGGACACATTCTCATATTACACCTTCGAAGAAATAACAATTCATAAATATAATAAATTTAGAAATAAATAATATAAAATGAGGTAAAGTATGTCATTATTCTTCATAATTATCCTTAAAATTATTTTTGTATTCTAAATCTTTTGTACAAAGTTTAGTTTAAAAAAATTACTGTTAAAATTTATGAGGAATAAAACCTATAAAAAATGTTTTACTCGTAATATATCATGATAAAACTTCTTATCATGCATTTCAATATATTTGTTAGAATTAATCAACAGCTTAATTAAGATCTTCATCTGCGGGAAAATGCTAAAAATGTCTTATTTCCAAAATCTATTCCGTTAATAATTTGTGGTTCTTTACGGATCCGTTAATTGAAGCACATTATATTATATCTAAATTATTCGTAGAATAAGAAAGTAAGCTAAATTACCATGCGTATCTGTTCAACAAAAGTTAGAGAAGTTTTCTTATTTTTAAATTTTTTTTATAACTAGACATTTTTACCCTCGTTTAGTAATACTGTTAAACTTAACCCTCACTGTGAACATTTACCCTTCTTAATTAGTTAGAATTTAGGTTTCGACCAACTCAATTCAATAAAAACAAATAAAAAAATGCTTCGTAAAAATTATAAAATGCTTATTAAAAGCTTCAAAAAATACTTTATAAAAAGATCACGGTGAGTATAATACTAGATAAAAGCATACAATTTTCACTACAAAAAAATCGTTTGTTTGTGGCGGTTAAATTTTATGATTACCGATAATTTTAACCACCTCTAAATAATTTTTCGGCGGTTACAAAACCAACGTTAAAATTGGCGACGCAAAACCAATTTTGTGGCAGTTTTGAACCGCCGCTAAATTTTTAAATTTGAGACAATTATTTAGCATCAGTTTAAAATCGTCACTAAAATTTGAAGTTCAAATTTTAGCATGTGCGTGGCATTGTTTTGTTTTTGGCAGGACAATGTTATATTTTTTTTGCCAGCAATGCTCTATTTTTGCTTCCACACTTATTTTTCTTTTTTTATCTTCTACTCAGTTTTTTTTTTACTATTTAGGTTCACATTTCATTTATTTGTTAACATTACAACACATATTATATAATTTATAATGTAGAATCGTTGGGGAAGAGCCATTTTTGGAGGAAGTGAAAATGATAATAGAAGATTACCAAGATTATCACGGTTGGAGAAAACATTTTGACAGTGATGGCAGTGGCAGAGAGAATGGTGGAATTCATGAGACAAAGGTGGAGATGAATGATAGCTTTGAGTGGATGATGGAGAATGAGAGAGGAGTGATGTTTCTTGTATTCTATTATCGTAAACTGACGCTAAATCTCACACTTTTTTGCAGTAGTTATGCAAAACTACCGCTAAATTCTGCCTTTTTTGCAGTGATTTTGCAGAACCGCCGCTAAATACCTCATTTTTTGGGGTGGTTTTGCAAAACAATGTTAAATGTTATTTTCAAAACAGTTTACTGGCGATTATTATTAACCGTTACTAATAAACTGCTGCTAAATGACATATTTTTTTACAGTGTTTGTAATAACATTTAAGGATAAAATGAACATTTCTACCAATTTTAAAGTTTTTTAATTTTTAATTCAATATTAAAATCAGTAATAAATTTGCAGTTGCCAAAATATAAATTAACACAAAATTCTTGAAATAAATATGTGCTAATTAATTGATTTATATAAACATAGTTATATATATAGAAGAAACAAAAAACTTCATAGAAAAAAATTGAAGGTCTCGTAGACAGTTAAATGAAATGACTTAAAGGACAAAATTTTACTTTTATTTATGTCTAACCAATTCAATTCAAATAATTATAGTTTAAATAAATATTTTAGCACATCTAGCATGAAAATTGCCACACATTGTAGTTACCCTTTCCAGTTTCGTTATCCTTGAAACATTTTTAATGAATCTTTACACCGATAGTAAATACACATGCAACCTAGTTTTTTTTTTCATATTTTTTTCTAAGGTTTTATGAATTTTCCAACTAATTTTCACAGTTAGATGATTTAAAGACTTGGTTTAATTTAACTCAAATAAAATTAAAGATACAAATATAGATAAAGAAAAGAAAGTGTAATCATGTTCTAATAAATTTCAACTCATCAATAGATGATAAAGTGATATAATAAGATATTATGTCGCGTGTTATCAAAACACCAAAAATAGAATAAAATTAGATAAGTTATCATAATTTTAGGTGATAAATTGAAGTAAAACAAGTTACCGTGGAAATAAAAATTTTAGTCGACGTGCTTGAAAATAGCTTGCATCCTTGTCACCCCTGTTTTATTTTTATTGAAGTTGTACGTTAACGATCATGTGTTAGGTTCGAAATTTAACTCACTCGTCATTTAATGCTTCCCTTGAGTTTTATCCTTGAGTGACATTTTTGACGAAAGGGGTGTGAACATGCATGGTGGAAATTCGCAAGGTATCACTCAAAACGCGACAATACAAGACAACCAAGAAATCATACTTAGACAAGTAAGCCACACAGGTTGGGTCTTATTAAGAATAAGTAGCAGACTAATCAATCTGTAAGCAGGCATAGCACGGCGTGTTATAGCCTGTGACCCGTACGTAAAATGAAAGAAATTAAACATAGTGATGGGATAGGAGTTTTTAATTTACTCCTTATCACACTTAGTGAGGAGCTCTTGAGCCAACTTTTCAAAGTAGAAAGGAGGGTGATCATCTGCGGAGTAATTAGCATTCCAAACAAAAATGCCAGGGAGGAATTGGCATTTGATGAGGTCTTCGCAGGCCTTAAGAAAGTCCTCTGGTGATATCTGATTATCCTTGTCATTTGGATCAGTGCTGTATCCTGCTAAGAGTTTATCTTTGAAGACATCGGATAGGTCACGGTACAACTTTTCAAACTCACACTTTGAGGACAAACACTGATCATAGAACTGGTAATCGACCCAGTTAATGTAGCATTTTTGTTCCTTGTACAATGTCTTGTATTGCGATAGCACGGGAGCTGATGGAGCAATGGACACCACATTGATTAGTACATCCTTCTTCAGGTATTCTATAACTTCACCAATGCACTCAACAAAGTCATCAGACTTAATATGCTCATAATTAATATCAATTCCATCAATTACAGTAATGCAGCTGCATGGGTCCTTGTAGTCTTGGATGATGATTTTGAGCGAAAACTTGGCATTGTCAATCCATTTTTGTTTCTCAATAGGATTAAATGGACATTCGACGCCACGACCTCCGATACTTATTACCACCTTTGCATTCTTATGCTCTTTCTTCAGCTCCTTGATTTTTTCAGTACTAAAGTCTTGCACGTTCCAAGTCGCCTGAAACTTTCCAGTGCCTCTTCCATCGCACCCATAATCCTCTGTGGCAAAGGCCAGAATGAAGTGGAATTCAGATATTTCTGGATTGATTATGTCAGGGAAATTATGTAATCCCGGGCATGACATGGGACCAATGTATTCCCGAAAAATAGTTGGCTTCACAACGGTGTTCAAAGACATTGTGATGATTGGAGAATTTAAAGGATATATGCTCAGCTAGTTTAGCTCTTGTTTTGTGGGTTTGGATCGACGAGGGTGGTCGGAATGCTCATCTCCTGACACCCTTTTATAGAGCTTAATTAGGGCACGGGGCCAGCTTCTTAATTTTGTTGTATTGTGCTGTATAATTAATAATAATTCTGCATATGCAATCACTTTAAATTTCGTGAGCATCTTCGTAAGATGCAAAACATGACATAATATGCATACGTAAGCCGGGTTTTGTCATACAGTAAAAAATATTCATTTATGAAATAAAGGAGTACTGTAATGAAGTTGTTTTATTCTGTCTATAAATTTATTTATTTTTTCACATCAATCATGTGGCTGGGATCTACACATAGTTGTTTAGATTCATTGTACATACATTTATTCAAAAAGAATATAGATCTTACATCTTAATTTCTGCGTAACGTTTGGTACATCAAACGTGCCACAAATGGATATTGTATAACCGATGACTAAACGTTATCGTTGGCAGCGATTAAATACGCATGTGAAATTGTTTTAATGACTGGCGATAGATCACGGTGGAACTTGGTATCATGCATTTCGATTCCTTAATTCTTGCCATCTAGATTTCCAGATATATATTTATTCGTGAATTTTTAGAAATGACTTCGGATCGTTTTGTCTATGAACTCCAGAGTAATATGACGCAAGGCATGACATAACTTGCTTACGTAATATTGGTTTTGCATGTCATGCAATGGAAACCCAATTTAATAAAGAAATTTCATTCATTTAATAAATGTTTAGGGATCAAGAAAGTTAATTACTTTTGCAAATCAATCATGTGCCTCAGATCTGCAGCAAGCTGCTTAGATTCCTAACAATAGTTTTTCTCTTTTTATTTCGGCATGTGTTACCATTGTTGGTTGTTATGGCACCAAAAAACTAAAGAGATTAAAATGTAGAAAATTGTGAAGAGAATGAATGGGAAAAGTTCAACTTTAATTAATAGCACCACTGTATTTATAATAACTTAAAAAAACAGAAACTAACTATATAACTAAAAGATTGATAAAAAAATTTGAATAAAAAATTAACACACTTCTTTACTTTTTTAACTGCAAACTCTATTTTTCTATAATTTAAATTTACTTACAAAAAATTGATTTGTTGTCATTAAAAGTCTTGTGTTTTGTTTTTATTTCAAATTAGAATTAAATAATTTTTTTTCCACAGAACATGATTCATAGAAACCGATACTAAGAAATTTTTCACACCATTAACTGAGTTAATCCGATTATTGCTAGAAAAATCAATTAATTTGAATTTTTCACACCTCATGAAATTGATGTCTAAGTTGCAAGTGCCTTTGAAATATTTAATCACTTTCTTTGCGACCATGAGATATCTTTTGTTTGCACTACACATTAAACTACAAAACTTACTTTCAGCATTCAAGATATCACAATGAAATGTTGTGATATTTTCTTTGGACAAGAAATTTATTTGCTCATCCTCCAACTTATTTAGAGTAATATTTTTCTTTTTTATTTTTATTTTAAAAATATCTTAACCAACTTCATCTTTAATAAACAATGTTTATCTTTAAAAATAACTTTGGTCAATTTTAGGAACCAAAAGAACATCACGAATTAATTTTGTGCCTAAATAGCTTGTTATTACAATTGTCTCTTTTTCCTTGACTGAAATAAAATCATCATTACCTATTCTGACTTTGGTGATGTTAGTATACTTAAAATCTCTAAAGAGTTTTTTGTTATTAGTAACATAGTTAGTATAATCACTATCAATTAATCAATCTTTATTTGATTTAAAGCTTGAGAAGCAAGTAAAAACAAATAAATAATCTTTCTTTTGATCAACAATTTCAGTTTCTTCATCTTAGTGTTGATTTTTATTTTTGCATATCACTTCTTCATATTCTATTTGGTTGCATTTATTGCATTGTGCATAAGATCACCTCCAACATTTGAAAAGAGGATGACCAATTTTTTCTCTAACAACACCTTTTTGTCTCATTGCATGTCTTTGCTCTTATGCTTGTAAGACATTTAATAGTTTTACCAGTATAATTTTAGACAAGTACTTAGTATTATCTAAGGTGGTGACTGTAGTCTCAAATCTTTAAACATTGTTACAAAAAATTTTTTTTACTTCTAAAATAAAAAAATTCAGTATCTAATAATCTTACATTGTTAGTCATATTAAGTAACCTGTTTGAATATACTTTAATTGTTGTGGACTCTTACATTCTTTGGAGTTTAAATTTTTTCATAAAATTCAACACTTGCATGTATTAAATTCCTTAAGAGAACATAATTATATATATATATATATATATAAGAAAAAAAAAACTTCCTAAAAAAAAAAACTGGTATCATAGAGAGTCAAATAACATGCTTAAAAGACAAAAAATTTATTTTTATTTATGCCTAACAAATTGAATTCAAATAATTAGTGTTTAAATAAAAATTTTAAGCACATCTAGTATGAAAATTGCAATACATCGTAGTTACCCTCTATCGTTTCATTATCATTGAAACATATTTAATAACTTTTTACATTGACGATAAATACGCAATTAGATGATTTAAAGATTTTTTTTTTTTTTTACATATAGTATAAACGTATTTTTTTCTAGGGTTTTATAGATTTTCCAACTAATTTCAGCAATTAGATGATTTAAAGACTTTTTAAATTTAAGTCAAATAAAATTAACGGTACAAATATGAGTAAAAACTTAAAAAAGTATATCATGTTCTAATAATTTTTAACTCATCAATTTTGTTAAGATAGCAAATTAAACCACAATATCATAAAATTACAGAGTGATACAATAAGATAAATTACCACTTTTACTGCTCTTGTTACTTATTATTATTATTATTATTATTATTATTATTATTATTATTATTATGTGTTTAAATATTCAACAACAATAAAGTAAGATTATTCTCCTCAATTTTATCATAGATTAATAGCAACAGTAATATTTCCACAAGTCAATTACAGTTGCTCCTATCTCAATCATTAATAGAACATAGAGGGGTTTTTTATTTGGTCTAACCCCTCGTTCTATTGAAACTTTAAAGCTTAATACATATCGATGATTCTGTTTGTACAAGGCTGGATCGAGCTACTTGTGGTTATATCATCTGAAACACTTCAAAAGATTTCAATCAAAGTTTATTCTGTAATCTCGAGTTTTCTTCTGTTGAAAGATGAGCCTTAATTGGTGTCTTCCTCACGGTTTGGGAATTAATTTGACCAATATGAAACCTAATGAAGCGTTTAATGAAATGGACTCTTTGCTAACTTGCTCCGATCTTCAATAATTATCGATGTCAGGATATAATTAATAGTAAATTAAATTAAAATATACTAAATACTTCACAAAATTTTGAAACAAGAGAAATAGAAAAAATGACAAAATAGGCAAATTTGAAAAAGTAAAGGACAAGAGAATTACACCAAAAGTATAAAGACAGAAAAGAAACATAAATAATCGTAGTTATTTAGATAAAGAAATAGACGGCATACACTCAGGTCTTATTTAGAATAGCTTGAAGACTATAAGTTTAGCATGGGCGTGCACATACATCACGTACAGCTATTATAGTCAGTGACCCATAAACACAGAATTAAACGATAGAAATTAAGCATACAGTTGGGCAAGGGTTTTGGATTTGATAATCAATCCTCAGATTTGGTGAGGAGTTGCTGTGCCTTTATCTCAACGTAGTAAGGTTCTTCAAGGACCTTGGAGTCATTAGCATCCCAAACAAATATGCCAGGGAGTGAATCACTTCGAAGGAGAATTTCGCAACCCTCAAAGAAGACCTTCTGTGATATTTTACCGGCATCGTCAGGATCAGTGCTATACCCTGCCAAGAGTTTTTTAACACTGAAGAAATCAGAAAGGCTTCTATAGAGATTTACAAAAGCATGAGTTGTGGACACAGTCTGATCATAAAACTGGTAGTCAACCCAGTCAATATGTTCTTTGTTGTCTTTGTACAAATTCTTGTAGTTGGTTAGAACAGGATTAGCTGGATCAGTTGAATCAGATGGAGCAATGGACACCATCATTCCTTTCCTCTTCAGGTATTCTATAATTTCTCCGATGCACTCAACAAAGCCATCAGACTCAATATGCTCATAGTTGATATCAACGCCATCAATTACGGTTTTTGTAACGCAACCGCAATCGTCCTTTTAGTCGACTTCAAGAATTTCCTTGAGTGACTTCTTGGCATTGTGAGTCCATTGTAGTTTGTCTTCAGGATTGAATGGATATTTGGTGCCACGGCCTCCAATGCTTATTACCACCTTCACATTCTTATATTGTGCCTTCATTTCTTTGATTTTGACAGCACTGAAGTCACTGACATTCCAAGATGGTCTGAAATTCCCTTTGCCTCTTCCCGTAGTAGGGTCGTAGTCGTCTGTGGCAAAGGCCAAAATGAAGTGAAATTCTGAAATTTTTGGATTGATGATCTCAACTGGGAATTTTCTCAATTTCGGGGAAGGCTTGGCGCCAATATATTCTCGAAAAATCTCTCCCTGCACAAAGGCTGCTGGTTCGACAGACATTGTGGGTGCTTAGTTGTAGAAACTGAGAGAGATATATGGAACTGGTTTTCTTAGTTTTGTGGGTTAATTGGGATGAGGCTGGTGGGAATGGCCAACTCTTGGCGCCCTTTTATAGAGCAAGCTGGTGAATGTCGAGGTTCAAGCAGCTTCTTCACTTTGTTTCTTTCTATATTCTATTTAGTATTTGTAGCATCCACATGTATGTGACGCAGAGCATCACATAATCTGCTTGCGTGGCCTTGCTTTTGTCACACAATAAAAAAACAGTTTACTATAAAACGTAGCCCTGAGACGCTTGATGAAGGCCATTATAATATTGTAATTGTAATTTTCTTTGATGCTTCGCTGCACTGTTTGCATTAATTGTATATTCATTCTGCATCTACTTGCTATGTAATGACAAATATTATACGAGATTGACTGAATATCTACACTTTGTGAACAAAGTTGTAAAATTATCGTTGACTTGCAAGATGTTAGTTAAGTTCATGCAATGGTTGTTACGTAATTTAAAATCATTACATGCTGTTTTTCATTAATAGATTGTAACGTGCACGTTCTGCATGTCGGTTTGAACATGCTATACCTACATATGGTGATAAATATACCTACAGTTGATGTTTATAGTTGATGTTTATGAGGAGTAAAACCTATAAATACAACTGATAACAGATCATGATGATATATATATATATATATATATACTTGTTCGTGAATTTTCATAAATGACTTCGGATCATTTTATATATGAATTCCTTAGTATTGTGGCACAAGACATGACATAACTTGCTTACAAGACGCAGGGTTGTTCTTGTCATGCATTGGAAACCAAATTTAATTAAGAAATTGCATTCATTTAATAAATGGGTAGTGAAGTTATATATATTCTGTCAAGAAATTTAATTACTTTAGTAAATCAATCATGTGGCTCAGATCTGCAGTAACCGCTACTTAGATTCCTAACAACACTTTTCCCTTTTAATTTCGGCATGTGTTACATTTATGTGGTAAATTTGCAATAATAGATATTATGTAAGGATGACTAATTATAATGTTGGTCTGGCATTTTATATTTGACAGTAAATATAAAATAAGGTAATTAAGATACACTTTTATTCTCCGTGATCAAAATGTTAAGATTAATGTTAACTGTTTGATTAGAATTAATCAACAGCTTAATTAAGATCTTCTTCTGCGGTAAAATGCTAAAAATGTGTTATTTCCAAAGTCTATTCCGTTAATAATTTGTGGTTCTTTATGGATCCGTTGATTAAAGCGCATTAAATTATATCCAAATTATTCTTAAAATAAGGGAGTAAGTTAAATTACCATGCGTATCTGTTTAACAAAAGTTAGAGAATTTTTCTTGATTTTTAAAATTCTTTTCTAACAAGACATTGTCACACTCGTTTAATAATACTGTTAAACTTAACCCTTACTATCAACATTTACCCATCTTAATTAGTTAGAATTTAGGTTTCCACCAACTCAATTCGTTAAATGCGTCGTAGAAATTATAAAATGCTTATTAAAAGCTTCAAAAAATAGTTCATAAAAAGATCACAGTGAGTATATCACTAGATGAAAGCACAAAGTTTTGTAATAACATTTAAGCATAAAATGAACATTTCTACCAATTTTAAAGTTTTTTATTTTTGAATTGAACATTAAAATCAGTAATAAATTTGTAGTTGCCAGAATATAAAATTAACACAAAATTCTTGAAACAAATATGTGCTATTTAGTATTTGTAGCATCCACATGTATGTGACGCAAAGCATCACATAATCTGCTTGCGTGGCCGTGCTTTTGTCACACAATAAAAAAACAGTTTACTATAAAACGTAGCCCTGAGACGCTTGATGAAGGCCATTATAATATTGTAATTGTAATTTTCTTTGATGCTTCGCTGCACTGTTTGCATTAATTGTATATTCATTCTGCATCTACTTGCTATGTAATGACAAATATTATACGAGATTGACTGAATATCTACACTTTGTGAACAAAGTTATAAAATTATCGTTGTCTTGCAAGATGTTAGTTAAGTTCATGCAATGGTTGTTACGTAATTTAAAATCATTACATCGCTGTTTTTCATTAATAGATTGTAACGTGCACGTTCTGCATGTCGGTTTGAACATGCTATACCTACATATGGTGATAAATATATCAAGTTATGATGTTCATTTCTTAAAAATCAGTTTAGCGCTTTCGTTATATACAATGTATTATTTTTATTGTTGTTAGAGAGACCAGTAAACACTAAAAATAGCATTAAAGCCAATACTATGCACCTCTTCAGTAAATAAACTTAATTAATTTCATGCATTTTATTTAAAAGAAGTTTGGATGTGAAGCTATGGGCTTTGCTACCCACCTGGATTTTCAATTTTTCTTTTCACATGAGGGAGATGCTTTGACACATTCTCATATTACTCCTTCTAAGAAATAACAATCCATCAACATAGTAAATTTATAAAGAAAGAAAATTCTTCTTGACTTAACATTTTTTTTAATCGTATGATATACTAAATTAATATAAAATGAGATGAAACATCTTATTATTCTCTATAAATATTCTTAAAAAAAAATTTATCTTCTAAATCTTTTGTACAAGTTTTAGTTAGAGAAAATTACAGTTGAAGTTTATGAAGAATAAAACCTATAAATAAAATATTTTACCAACGGGTAACAGATCATGATAGAACTTCTTATTATGCATTTCAATTTGTTAATTCTCTTTCATGCGTATCTGTTTAACAAAGGTTAGAGAATTTTTCTTGATTTTTAAAATTTTTAATAACAAGACATTTTTACCCTCATTATGAACAATTACCCTTTTTAATTAGTTAGAATTCAGGTTTCGATCAACTCAATTCATTAAAAACAATACAAAGATGCTTCATAAAAATTACAAAAATGTTCATTAAAAGCTTCAGAAAAGGACTTTATAAAAATTTGTATAATATAAAATAAAAAATGTTCATATAATATTGTATGTTTATATCATATTTGATTAAGGTATTTAAGGTAAAGGTAAGAATAGTATTACTTAGCGTCCTACTCGTAGCAACACTCTCTAATCAACCATTCTATCTTCCACTTCTACATCCACATTAGTTGCAGTGCAAGCCTCCCAAATTAGGGGATAAGAGCAGTTCATCATGGTGCTCAATCCTGGATATGTGTCTCCTCTCCTTTCAGTGTAACAAGCTTCATAATATGCATCACTGACTACATCTGCCTCATTATCCCCCTCCACACAACGCACAGGTGAAGGATCCACTACTTTTGCATCTTTTGGGCAATAGTACAGACCCAAACACCATCACGATCGCTTTCAAGTTTGAGATGGGATGAATTGACTTGGTAAGTACAAAATATGCTGCAAAACTTTATTTGATGTGAACATTATCATGATTGTGTTATTTTATTATGTTTTTAGTTGGTATCCATCATAGAAAGATATCCACTGGGTAATCTATACTATTAAAAAGATGTACGATGCGCCTTACACCAATTTTGCTAAGGTTCCTAAGGATATAAAGGTAGAGTGATTGAAAGATTGAAAAGTAATAAAAGTCAATTAATTTATTTTAAGTCTTATTAGATCTCTATTTTTTGTACTTGTATTAATTAATTTCTATTTATATAAAGTAACTTCTTTATTTTCCTAAGACGAGAAGATGATTTTCAAAACTTGAAAGAGTCACACTTCAAAGCGACTAAGATAGATATATTAGGGCTCGTTAGGACCCATCATCTGCAAATTGAATAGTACTCCACTTCTTCCATGTCTTGCAGGAGTATTTGTGTACAAATGAGTTTAAAAATCTTTCTGTAAAAAATAAGACAAATAGGGCATCCAATAAAGGGAGATCACTACATATTCATGGCTTTACGACTTTGGCCGGCACTAAGGCTAACTTGGTTAGTGATTTCTAATTTTATTTTAAATTTTATATTATTTAATTTATCAATTGAATTTAACATGTTAATTAATTGGAATTACAGGAGAAGTAGTTGAACATATCACCTATGCATGGAGAAGTATTAAAGGAGACACACACTCGTAAGGAAGACAAAATCAAGTAACCTTAGGCTACATATGTAAGTATATTTACTAACATTATATTGTTTATTAAATATTTAAATAATATTTCTCAAGGCTAATATATAATTATCTACACTAAATTGTAGGATGACTATGCTCAAAGGCTAGAGGCTACATCTACTGAAAACCCAGAATTCATTGATTAAGATACAATGTGGTCAGAGATAGTGAGTGGCTTTATGGCATGAGGAGCTGCTTTGCAGACTCGATGTCGCCTGCATCTGTCACCAGGTATGCTCTTTCTCTTGTGCCTAAAGTGGTGGAAGACATGATTCACACTCAAGTCAATACTCTTAATGAAGAGCTCCAGAAGCAAAATGAGAATATGTGGAAGATTAAGGAGAATACATGGAAGAAAAAGTGGGCTAAGAAAATGGAGAAGAAGATAGAGAAAAATACAATATTAAGGATGTAGAAAGATGTGCAGCAACAGATAAAACATACATAGATGCAACAAATGTGTGCATACTTCAAACTAATAAGAGTAACTAGCTTCACACCTCTTTCTCTTTCACCACTAGCTCCAACACTGCCAGTATGTGGCGACATTCATCTTTCTCCTTTATTGATGATGATGACATTGCAATCGATAATGATCACACCGAGTATTTGTGATAGACATTATTATTTTATTTTTCACATTATTACTTTAGATGTTTACTTCTTTAATTATATAAACATTTTAATTTAATGATTTTGAAATAATTTTTTGAATTTTGATTTTATATTTTTCGTTATGCTTACAAATTATTATGATAATTAAGAATAATAAGTAATAATTATACAAGTAAATAAAAGAAAAGATAAAATTAATTAACAGATAAATTTTTTTATTTATAATGTTAGAGACAAATTTTTTTCATTTTTAATTTACAGACAGATT